TCATTTCTTTTACTCAATGGAATATTGTGCTGTGATAATAAAGAATGAACATTTATGAGACGCTGCGAGTAGTTTTGATGAGGAAAATGTTCTTGTTTGTGTTATAGGTGCTGCTGGTGTCAGCAGGATGGTCGAAAAATATGTTGTGGTAATCATAATATTATTATTTGTTCATCGAATAATGCATGTATAGTGATTAACGTGAATTTCAGTTGGATTTGCAGTGTGAAGATGCGCTAGAGAGAGTACAATCGAAACGTATGAAAAGTGACGAAGCGTTGGAGTTTTGTTCGGAGATATCCGAATTTGTTCGTGGCGAATATGAACGTATTTGTATTGCGCAGGGATGTCCATTAACGACTTACATTGCAGCGTTTGTTTCATTGAGTTGTTCGCTTAGTTAACGCATCATTTCTTGATGATCATTTATTCTTATGGAAAGTGAAACTGTGAGCAATCAATGTAATATTTGCCATTTCTACTCTAACGAAGTTTTCTTCTTCATTTAAACAGCTCATAGCTGAATGAGTTATTTTGAGTTTAAGCGTTCATTCATTTAAGTTTTGTACTGATTTCGCCAGACGGTGCTCGTAGAATGGTTTCCTTGGGTACGGGTCGTAATTGGGTTATTGATGGACAACTTCTCAGAAACAGTAAAGGAGCAGTTCTNNNNTTTTTTTCTCTCAGATATTATGCATCGGAATCGCATGGAAAATTCCGTTTTCAAAATCGATCAAAATATAATAACCGTTTCAGTTCATTTGAATGTCGCATTCTAGAAGTATTTTTTTCATTTTTATGGTCACAAAGAAGCCGTGAATTGACTGGCTTTCAAAATATTTGAGTTTTTATGTAACGAACTGATAAACTGTTGTTGTTTGCTGGTTTTTTGTGTAAGAAGAGCTGAATGCGATCATATTTATGGATGATCTTTTGTGTTTGTGTTTCTGTTGTGTTCGATAAGGTTTGCATTTTGTTTCCAAATGCATTGTTCAGTGAATTTAAAATCACGAATAATTGATACTGCAGGTATTGTATTGGCTCGTCGCGCATTTTTACTTTTCATACACAAACAGTTGGAGATGATTAACGACCCGAATTGTGTACTTGAACGATCAGAGCAGTCAAGTAAATATCATCTTAAGGTTCGGTTTTATTCTGTTCTCTTCGATTTTTTAAATTCTTCTTTGGTGTCCACTGATTTTCGAGAAAATATGATGAACACAAGTAAAGTGTATTAAGCACGTTCGAAGTTTTGCTTCGTTTTCTGCAGTATTTTTTGAATGATAAACGATTGAGTGTTTTATTCAGGCAGGTTACAAGGTGATTCTCTATTCTGCATTCGCACCAAACGGTGGTCATCGAACGTCGGGTGTAAATAAAGCCAACTTGACATGTCACATGGGCAATACGAGGGCGCATGATGTACCTGAAAATGTGCAAACAATGAACGAAATATACGAAACGGGAAAGGTGAACGTTATGAGTGCTGCCGACAAAATACTCAAATGGAATTACCTTGGTTAGTGTTTCTTTTTTTGCTGCATCTTAATGCAGTCAGTTTGGTTTTGCGGCTTACGTTAGCGACTGCAACACTGCTGAATCAGATCTGAATTGTTGATACGAATATGAGTCTCGTTCCAAAAGTGCACTCAACTTTATGCTGGCGGTCAAACATAATTTACATATTATCTATTATTCAGTTTTGCATTACATAATCCTAATTTCTGAAAAGTGGAAATTAGTCACTAAGCTAACAGTAGGAAGTGTAATAATGAAAAGGCTAATTTGCAGGTGTTCAAGGTGCATTGCTGTCGTATCTTGTTGAACCAATTTACATAACGCACTTGTTCATTGGAACATCCACAGCAGATTCGAATTTAATGTACGACGTATTACTGAGATTTGGTGATGCACGTAAGGATGACCTGATCGTTAAGTCAGCTGAAAAAGGAATAAAACCTCAGGGTGAAATGTATCATAATTGGGTTGATGGCATTGGTGAGTTGCACTCAGTTTGTTTCATTGCAACTCATTTCTATGATCAGGTGCTGTTGCTTAAGTTTCATCAAACTCGAAATGACGAACACTATGGTGCTCATTGTATTTCGAATTTCATTTCATTTTCGAAATAAATTTCATTCATTTCGAAAGAATGAACTCGTGTGATATTGGTTTAAATCGTAATGAATTAGCTAGCAACTTGTAGCCGGCGTGGTTATTTCATGCCTCATATGGTCAGCAGTTTATTCGAACTGTGTAAGTTCGAATAAATTGCTGACCATATTGGATATGAATTGAGACCATATGAGACGAATGAATTGCTGATTATGACCATGTTTGAATCATTAAATCGCAGGTACAATTGAACGTCTTGATCCAGCCACAGGACGTACAGTAACGGGATCATTATCGAGATTATGTAAATCAGAGTTGTTCGAGAGTTGGTCACGTTTGCTGAATACACTAGATGAGGATATAAAAACGTCGACGACGTGTGCTGAAGCAAAACGACATGAATATGTTTACATGAACGTGTTGAGCAATTTCATTGCACAGTTGAAGGCGTTGGGTTTGGGTGAATGGCAACGTAAAGATCAGTCGATTGATTCGTTCCAATTGGTTTCTTTCGATGAATGAATTTTACTGTCGTTCCTAGCGTTGTTCTTATTATTAATATCACTTCATTAATATTACTTATTTTCTTCACAGTTTCGTTGTTATCATCAGTAATCTAGTTGTTTTTAACTGTCATTGTTATTGTTGTTGTTAATGTCCATTTTTTGAGGTTTTATGATTCAGTACGCGATATTCATCAATAACGGTTCATCACAAACCGCTGAAATTAATTCCGAAATAATGCTTATTGTTAGTTGAAAGTGCTCATCAAGGAATCGATCCTTTCATCATTCTTTATTTTACATAACTTTTGAAGGTAGACAAATGGAAGGAACGCTTGTTGATTTACAGCTCTGTTGAGGATAATTTGAATGAGTCATATGATCGCTTAAAAAATTGCTTGAAGCCAGTTTGATCGAATGATTCTAATCGCTTGAATAACGAGTAACTGATTCGTCAGAAATCATAGTAGGTATGCGTAGGACTGGTCGNAATATTATAAACGTACCTATTTGTCGTGTTTTGTTTAGTTCATATTAAACTTTAAGCTGTTTTATTCGTTCAGTTTCATGGTTTATTCATTGAGTTATTTCTATTGTTCACTCTTATCTCATCGTCTATTTTTTCACGATGTATCTTTGCTTTCTGTATTTATTTTGTCGGTAACGCTTGCGTTCTGTTTCGCGGTATTTGTCGTATTCGTTCGTTTCAGTTTGTAGAGAATTCATTGAAATCCTTTTCTGTGTCTGTGAATCTTTGTATGCACTCTTCTGTTTTTGTCCCTTTTTTTGGTTTCAAAAAGTATATGCTGTATTTTTTTCAAATTCAGGACATTCGGTTTACTGTAATTTCAAATACCGTATATAGTTTTCTTTATTTTCACACACTGAATTTTCAGTGAACGCTGTTTGCACTTTTGCTGTTCGTCAGTTTTATGATTAACTGGAGAGAAACAAGCAACGCAACGATACTGAATTTTCCTCCTTTCCCTTTGCAGTTCTTTTTTTGGGGTTTCTCTTTGCATCCATATTCGTGAATTTTGGAACACTTCGACAGTCTTCTTTGTTCTAAATCCATCATCACTTTATAAAAATGTTTTTGCATCATTATTTCTATGATTCATTGCACTGATAATCGAGGACTTGCGACTTTCAGTGTTTTTTATTGCAAAACAATTCTCGATCTCCTCGCTCTATCTTCCCTAATTGGGCCTGAAAATGTTTCTCAGTTGTTCGTTTTTTTGTTTCTTTCTGTGTTTGAAAGGTGTTCTTTTTGGTTTTCTCTTTTTTTTGAAAAGTGTCGATCGTGTTTTGTAAAACTTAATCATTTTCTCGTTAGTGAGTGTTTGTTGCGTTTTGTAATGCTTAAAATATTTTTAATGTGTTCTTTTGAGTTGCATCCGAATTGCTGCACGTTCATTATGTATTAATTCTCATACAAATGTTTCTGCTCTATTTATCAATAAAACTCCCAACCATATTCCTATTTTAGTTATCAGTTTCCATTTAGTACATCGTTTATTGAAAATTCGGCTTTTAGCCGCGCAAAAAATGCATCGAATTGTTTCTAAGTTAATGACCGAGGTATGCGCGTTGTAAATTTCCAACTGCTTTTTTGTGAACTTATTGATTCGATGTGCATCATGAACCGTCTAAATTTCAGTCTGTCTGTGCTGCGTAATCACTGATCCGCTAACCAATCAATCATTCGTTCACATCAGCAGTTGTTTTCGAATGTACTCTGGTTAATTCATTTGCATGATCGATTGAATAGATCACTCGTCAATAT